TTTCTGAGAATTCAGAGCACAACAAAAGCAACATAGTGAGGATTCCAGCTCCAGGTCCAGTCATAAGGCACATAATTAGCTGTTCAGAGAAGACATCTATGGACATTGAAATAGAAGAGGAAAAAGACAGTCATCTTGTAAGTGTGGTGACTGGTCTCATCCCTGTCCATACTAAGTACCAGTCATTTCTGTATTCTAAAATACAATGTTTTCATCATAGATTTATATAAAGAATTAGAGCTGTGCTTTCAAAAGCAATTTATAAGACACTTTCACTGACTGAGAAGATTGCATTCCTCTCTTAATCCTAATTCTCCTACATACAAAAGTATGTTTTTAAGTAGCAAAAATGATCTTTCTATTTTCTAGCTTATAAAAGCTATAAATATACATAAATACTAAAGCTATTGGTTTAAAAAATGGTACACACTATAGACTACCCTTATTCACAAATGACTATTTAAAGTATAGGCACTGCAAAAGAAGGAACTCATGTACTTCACCGCCAGTCTGTATTTTATGAACGTTTATCTGTGACTCTCAGCTCGACATCCTGCTTCTTGCTCACTATATCTTTCCTGCTTTTGTCTAAATGAGCCTCCCAGGAGAAGGAAGGAGAAGGAAAAGGTTGTCTTCCTCCAAGTCCCACATCATAATTGTCACAAAGTTTTCATACTTTGTAATTATGTATTTCTATCATTGGGAGAAAATCACCAGCCGATTTATAAAGTCTTGTTTCCATTTAAAAGAACTAAAAATTTCAATTAAGCAAACACTTTGACGATGAAAATTTTCAATTAAAAACTTCATTTATGAATCAAAACTTAATCCAGGATAAATGGTTCATTAAAAAAAACTGGTAATTTTTAAAGAACTATTTGAAAAGATTAATGGCTTCTAAGAAGCTATGTGACTGTCATGCGGGAGAACTATCTTCTAATGGAGTACTCAGGTATTTAGCATGCCCATCTCTATTGCAGCATTAGTCACCATAGCCAAAAAGTAGACACTTACCATGGGGAAGATTAAACTGTTCTGGAGCTAAGCAGTGGTGACGATTACACAACAACATGAAAGGTATTTATGATCACAAAAATGTATACTTTAAAATTATAAAATATTTTATTTACATTTTACCAGAATAAGAAAAGGTATAACTGTAAACTGAATATTTACCTAATCATGGATGAAGATAACAAATAACTAGATATTCTCTTTTTTAACCTACCTGTTATTAAAGAGTGGGTTATCATTCTACTGCCCTACTTGCTCCCTGGTTAATACCTTCCCAGAGCCCTAAGTTCACCTGATTCTATTTGTTTGGTTGTGAGGTGCGGACTTTATGATGTGGAGACTAGACTCCCAAAAGAATCACTATTTGCTATGTTTAGAAATTCTGAGTTCTTCTTGATGTCTAGTCTATGCAAACAAAAATTACAAGTTCCTATCTCAAAGTAGTATTTATATAAGCATTTTTCTTTTATATAATAACAATTCAAATAAACTTTATTCATAACTCTTCACTAGAATTTTTGAAAAATTGTTGATTACTGACTTATTAAATTCATGGTAACATTTTGAGTTCATTATTTTCATGATAAAGCTAGAAATAAAATCAGAATAGTAATTTTACTTGTGTTTATAAGATCTTATTTTAATGTAACTTAATGAAAGTTTCCATTAAGGGAACACATGACAGAGATTTGGGTATATATGTCACAGTGAAAAATATGTAGTCAGTTGCTCTTTGGGCTGGAGAGGGAGGGGGAGAGGAGTGGGGGGAGGGGGAGAAGGGTGGGAGGAGGGGGAGAGAAATGGGAGGCTGGGAGGAGGAGGAAATTTGTTTTTTTTTCTCTTTTCTCAATAAAAAAAAGTTAAAAAAAAAAAAGAAAAATATGTAGTCAGTCCATGGCCTAAATTTGAATATGAGTTCTGCCACTCACTAGATGCATGACTGAGTAAATTATTTAAATTCTTTAATCTCCAATTCCTCACTAAAAATTTAGGTATTAATACCTAATAGTTATTATGAGAGAAGCACAAATGTCTAACACAGAAATAGCTTAACAACAGCATAGCATGTAAGAAACAAACGCACTGCTGGAGGCAGGCGAGGATGAGAGATGAGCTCAGCACCTCACTGCTTAATGATGCCTGCCTGAGGATGGATGCAAGGGGAGAAGGAGTCATTGTCTTCAGTTGCGTAGCAACTAGTAAGACCACCAAGCTTCAATACATAGTTCCAAACTCATGGTCATACAGACAATCCAGGTTAAACTCAGTGGGTCATAAACAAAACAGAGACATGGATGTGGAAAAAAGACTTGTAGGGAAGGAGGAGATTGACAGTGATCCGGAGATAAAGAAAGTAGGGTAACGATCAGGATGTAAGACTGTCAAATAACAAATTTAATTAACCAAAAATTATTTATCTGTAAAAACACTAATTCAAAATACATTTCTCTAGACACTCACACATTCAAACACACATACACACACAGGGGTGGGTATGTAAGCATGCTTTTGGGATAATAAAGCACTGTAATATTAAAACTTCTCAAAATGAATTCATACAGTTTGTGATTTTAAAATGAATTTAAACACATTAAATTTTTATAAGATTTCTTTTGTTTATATCTTTCAAATAACATGATTTGTAATATGTTAATTAGATTATATTGCACATAAAATGGGAAGCAAACCAGATGCATATATGTATATATAGAAAACACAAAGTAAGTATATATACATACATTCCTTTTCAATGTACTATATACAATTTAAGGAAGCTGTAGAGAAATACAAGGAAAAAGGTTGAAAAGTAAACAGGATGTTCCCAGCCACCGACCACATGCAATGAGAGTAAAAAGGTACATAAAAGCAGGCACATTTTTAATTGTGTGAAAAATTCAATCAGTTCACATTAATGTAAAAAAAATTCACCAGCACAGAAGAGTTGGATATTGTCATCTCCCAGGCAAAAATCAAGTTGTTACCAGTGACTACTGCCACAAAAGATTTTAAAGTATGGAATATTTGATAATGGAATTTCTTCCACAATTTCACTTAAAAGCACAAAGAAACTCTATACTATAAATTGTGTGTATATAAACATAAATAAAAATTATAATTTATAACACTTGTAAATTTCATCACAGGCTCGTGTTTACAATGTTGTATTTCTTGGAATTCTAACAGCATAAGACTCTGGAGTAGAAGGAGAAAGGGGATCTGTAGTCAAATAAACTGTGGTCTAGAAAATGCTGCATTATATAGTTTTAGATTTAAAACAAGACTTACACACAAGGGCCTGAAACTTGCTGCAATCAAGGAGAGCTTTTTACATTTATTAACTGGTAATGGTGTTTCCCAAGTTCACCTGGCACAGAACTTTCTTTCTCAGGAAATGTCAAGGAGCCAGTATGCCTCCTAACAAGTTACTTTGGGAAAAGTCTAATAAATTATCCATTACGTGTAGTAAACAAGCAATTTCATTTGTACCTGTTTCCTCAAAATGTAGTCACTTAAAGAACTGATTAAGTCCCCAAATGAATCTATCTTATTTTATATTGAAAAATATTTATTTCAAGGGTAGCATTTATACTCTTTAGTGAACTGGAGTTCTTTTCAAAATATAGAGGATGGATAGATAGATAGATAGATAGATAGATAGATAGATAGATAGATGCATACATAGGTTAAGTAGAAAGGATAGTTAGGTAGATAGGTAGATGGATGGACAGATGGATGGATGGATTGATGGATGGATGGATGGATGGGTGGGTGGATGGACGGATGAATGGATGGATATACAGGAATAAAAATATTTTATCTCTCACAAACTTTGTGCTGTTTAATCAAGTTCAAACACCCAGATTCTCACAGTTAAAAAGAGACAACAATAAATGTGTTCCCAACCTACTGCTTATTTTTTTCTTGCAATTCACTATGCATTGAGAAAACCTTGCAGCTATGAGCTATTACATACCTTCAAACATGAGATTATTAAACTTACAGGTTTTTTTTTTTATTAACTGGTGTTAGAAGTCTGAATTTACACAATTCTGCAGCAAGAAAACAATTTTTTACGTTAATCCTGAAGTAAAATAATCATTTCATTCTAACACCTATACTGAATATATAGAAAAAATACAAGAATTATTATTTTACCCATGAAGTTAGGCAACTTCTCCCAAGTACCAATAGTTAGTTAGCAAGGACCAATTTCTTATTGTACCAATACTGTGTGGATTACAACCATGTGTCAAAGAGCCACACTAAAACATGAAGAAAACCAGGAATTACCTTTAATAATAGCTCATTATTTAAGACATTTTCTTCTTCTGAAATAATTTTGGAACACAATTTGCTAGAAGTTGTGTTTTAAAAAAATAGATGGTATGTTAGATAGCTTTCTGTGAGTTGAGAAATGAAGAGCAACGTCTTAAGAAGTGTAATGAGGCACTCATTACTCTCTCATTGTGTTAGAGGAAACAAAATAAGCAAGCTACAATTAACTTGAGGGTGAAGTGTGAATGTGAATGATTACAGTGCCAGGCTCTGACATCACTTTCTTCCTAGGATTTCTTTTGAAGTTTTAAAGCACATAAAAGTATAGCAAAATGTATGAAATGAAGGAAAAACCACTCTTTTTTTTAAAGGACTAAAGGGGATAGAAATAATACTTTTGGTAACTCATGGACATTTATTTAGTCATTCATTTTCCAGTTACACAAAATAAGATGCCTGCTGGAAGAACCAAAAAGATCACTTTAAAAATCTATGACAAGATATATGTCACCAGAGCATTTTATATAATAATACATAGCAATAATACTTTATTAAGAGAAGTTAATTGGATACCAAAAAGGAAAAAGACTAACAAGAAAGGAGAGAGGAATGTCAATAATTTAGTAAGTGAAAAGGAATTAAAGTATTAGGTTCAAGTATTGTAAGTTTTTTTATAAGTAGATGTAAATGAAACAAAAATTGGTCTTCACCTGGTAAGTGTGTACTCCCTGAGTCCTGAATGCAAATTCATGGCAGAAAAAGTACCTATGCATCCACGCAATCTTTTGTCTCGACCAATCTTCCATGTTACAAACAGTGGGCTGTAACAGAACATAAAATAGGGTAAATCAGTCAATTCAACCAAGCCAGCGTTTACTGAGTATTTACCATATGCTAGGTTAGGTGACTGAGATAAAAGACTAAAGACAAGCCCTCAAGGGGTTCAAGGTTTAGCTCAGTAACAGTGTTTTCTACACTGTGTTGAGATGTCTTCTATACATTAGACACGAATATTAATGTTTTCCCGAAGTATTTTTGTTAATCCTCATCAATAATTCCTCATCAACAATTTTTGCAGATTGAAGATATTAACTTCTTGTTTAAAGACCAAACATGGTAAAATAAAGCACTCAAACTTGGTAATGTTGAAAACAGAGCTTTAACTAATCACCAATGTCTGCAGAATTCCCTGTTTAAAGCTAGATCACTGACTGATTTGTAAGTCTGATTTAGAAAACTGGTAATAGGTAATCAAGCAGCTTTTCTGAAAACACAGGTTTGCAGGAAACCAACGCAGAGGCAGACACAGTCACAGCTAACTAACACAAGGCAGACGAAAAGAAGCATTATAAATCATGCCAAAAATGCCATAAATTAAGCTATAGGGATAGGAAAACATTTCATCAGACCTCATAATCTTCAGTTTGCCCTAGTAAAGTCAGGATGGTTCAGATAGGTGAAGTGAACTGCAAACATTAACTAGGAAATACCCTTAAACGATTAAGTCTGAAAAAATATGCTGCAATTCAAATTACATTATATAATCTACACACTTTAGGACATTTTGCAAAAATATAAATACACCGCAGGTAAAAGGATCTGTATTACTATGAATATTCACAATAATAGTGGCATAATATATTTCTGCTTTCTAAAATATTTAAATTTATGGGACTATACCATATTTTATATATTACTCATTATTCAATAGTGCATTAGAGAACATTCTCACTTTAAAATTAATGCTCTTTGGGAAACAAGATATTCCCTTAAAGACATTTAACCATCCACCTCAAACATTTAAATTATGGCAAGTTCTGACAGATAGGCACAATAGCAGACTAGGTCCCAAACAAATCCCACAGACAAACCAGGGAACACTATGACAATTTCACTTCTTCCACAAACTCAATGTTCAGTAGCACTGAAAACCATTACTGCAGTATCAGGGCAAAGACGACATTCAGGCACCAGATGACTTATACTAAAGGTAGTAAAGTAAATACAAAAAAGGACAGCCCAACTTTTCTGCTTTTCAGCTCTTATGTGCTATATAAAAATAATTTGAGATTATAATCATCCATTTGATTAGCAGTTCTTAAAAGGACAAAAATTAGGTGGGAATTACACTATCATGATCTCTTTTCATTACTCAGAGAAACACTAGCATCTAAAGATTTATACATTCTTTAAGATAAATTTAACCTCTTTATTTTTTCCATTTTCCAACTTAGTGTAGTCCACATCTGCAACCACTCCTATGGACAGCAACATCATCAACTCTTTCTCATCACACTGACTAGACAATATCCCTACAGAAGACAGGTCCTCTGATAGCTTTGACATAGTGAAGTTAGTCATTCTATAATCTATGTAAATCCATGCATCCCAAGTACCATGATGACTTTTCAATAACAGACCAACATCGTATATTCTCATCACCAGTGATTTAAAAAACATAGAAATGTGAGTGAATTTATTTCTTACCAAAACACTTTAAATGAAAGCAATTATTCACCCCACTTCTATTATTTACCCCACTATAATACATACGTGTCATTCTTAAAATAATATAACATCTTCTCAAGTAAATTCTCAAAATACATAGAACAGGAGAACCACACATGCTGAACACTCTTCTGAATGATGAAATATTTTGGGAGGGATTCAACCACATGGTAGGGGAAATTGTATGTCATTTATTATGCTATGCTAATCCTTTGGGGAACTGCTAGTATACGGCCAAGGGTGCTACAGATTGCATTTTTGCAAGGCAGCCTGGGAAGAAAAGGTACTTCACAATAACCCAGGGCATGTGGATCTGAAAAACTTGTACCGGGAATGGGTAGCCTGAAAACAGCCTTTATAACTTGCTGTGGTCTCTTTCAGATGGAACATTCTTTGGATTTTTGACATTATTGAGTATGTGTTCTTAAGAGTTCTCATAACAGGTAAAGTAGATGATGCAAAATTATCTGTTATTTCCTATTTTTTCCTGCCCTAAGCAATACCAACTTTGAGAGTTGAGATTGCAGTAAAGCAGCTGTCAAGAAGGGGAGGGAATGACACCCCTACTAAGATGTTTGAAGATGTAAGAATTCAGACTTTTAATAGACATTAGAAAGTTTTTCTGTAAATGTCTGAGTCTCTCACATGTCATTTACAAACATACATCCAATATCTTTTATCTGTTTTTTTTTTAAAAAAAGGTGTTCACAGACCTAAAAATAAAGTGTCTAAAAGCATCGTTTAATAGGGGAAAAAAGAATCTAGGCAGTTGAGCATTTTAAAAAAGATACTCAACAAACCACTGAGCCCAAAGGTAGCATCATGTGCATAACAATGACACTATCCAGGCAATGCCTGCCGGAACATTCAATGCGAAGTACCTAAAAATAGTAACAACATATTTTCATTCCAAACAGAGGAAATGAATAGGTGATTTCATTCTTAAATATGGTATTATAACATGTATGAGTTCGCCAAAGTACATAAGCTAAGCCACAGCATAAGCAGAATCAGATCAAAGGGAAAAGGGGGTTTCTGAGCCTGCTGAGAGGAGCTATTCAATGACAAGGAATAAAGGAAAATAGTTCATAGTAAGGCAAAGACTGAATGTTTTTGGAAAATGCTTTTGCCATATGGTTTAAGGCCACCTACATACATTGAAAAAAATACTACAAACTACAAGAAAGATCAAAAAATGAGTTGAAATATTAATGGAAATATTTATCTGAGGGTAACCAGATGTAGCTTTTAAAGGAATTATCCTACTTCTGAACATTTTGTACCGTATGTTCTGAGAAACATTTGGAGGTTGAGAAACATTTGGAGGAAAGTAAACCCCATCTCCCTAAGCCTGTACATAGAAACAGGAAACAACCACCTAATCTAGGGGAATCCTCACGGCCAATTGGCAGCCAGTAGTGTCAGATCAAAAGTGGCTCTCAGAAATGTAGCTGTTATGGAACAATAACGGTATAAAGAGCAATATAAATCTGTACAGGATTCTCTGGGTTTCATGCCACTTCCAATGCCCTCTTCTGGGACGGTCTATTGATTTAAGCCACAACACATTGGAAATGTGTTTGTAGGACTGGAATACAATTACATGAGACATCGAAAAAGATGTATTTACTTAACAATAGTGTAGTGCAAAGCCTACCTCTCTGCAAAAACAGAAAATGGTAAGTTTAAAAAGCATAGTCCATGGTGAACTCTCACTTATGTTTAGAATGAAGCTTACAGGTAACAACAGCAACTCAATAATATAAGCCTACTTGCTACGGACATTCAACAAGATATTTATTTTAGAGGCAGATAAAAAGAAAAAGAGAAAAGCCCTGTATCTTAGTTTGTTTCTTATACCATCAAATAATGATTGTCAAGTGTCCTTGGTTTCATCAGCAACTTAGTTCAAAAATCCAATTATGCTCCTTATACCATGCAACTAAACTCCAGGATCCAGGGAGTTTAAGTAAAAATAAAAATGATGGTGCCTTCTTTCCACCACTAAACTAAGAAATTTCTCTTCATATTTCAATGGGAAGTTGTGTGTTTCCTTTCCAAGCCATATAAATTACAGTTTTCATGAGTGTAAAATATGCCAAATATTATTGCATCCTGAATTAGTCAGCAATGGCTGCTATAATAATTATCATAGGCTACATTGCTTAAAGAAACTTTACTTATAGCTTTTTGAGCTAAAAATCTCATGATCCAGGTTATAATCAACTTCAGTTCTTCGAGAACCCTCTTCCAGACTTATAGAAAGCTACGTTGTCCTCACACGCCATTTCCTGTGAGCATGGTGAGGCAGAATCTCCAAGATAGTGAGTACAGCTGTCATGTAAATTACCACAGGGTAAGAAAATTCTATGGAGTCTACACAGTTCACCATATAAATGAGCAGAAGGTCTGGTCTCCTTCCATCCCTCCATCTCGTCTTCTCGGCAGTGCAAAATTAGCTGAAAAGATGACAGGATTCAGTAGAAATGCCAGACCATCTACAAGAGTGGTTCTCAACCTATCTAATGCTGTGACACTTTAATACAGTTCTTCATGTTGTAGTGACCCCAACCATAAAAGTTTGTTGTTGCTTCATAACTGCAATTTTGCTACTGTTATGAATCACAAGGTTAATATCGGTGTTTTCCAATGGTTTTAGGAGACCACTGTGAAAAGGTTGTTTGAACCCAATGGGACACAACCCACACTGATCTAATAAAAGATCAACACCAATTTACAAGTCTTCAAACTGGTCCTATTAGAAACCCAGAGCAAAGCCTACTGTTTCATCCTCAATGGATTACCAACAGAAGGATGGCTTACTAACACCCTTTCTACCTCCCTATGCCTTCTCATTTCATGTTCTCCTCTATCTATGCAGCCATCATGAAATCTAGGTCTTCTGTCTATTCTCCACAAACTGGCCACTGAATGAAAATTTCCACTTACACGTGTTTAATGATTATTCAGCTAGGGATGGGATCTGATCATTTAATTATGCAATTTATACTATGGAATGAATAATGCTTAGGTTCCAGATAACCTGAATCTCAGAGCGACTTGAAATGAAAGAAAATAAGCTAAACTGGAAGAGACGGGAGAGAAACAGTAAGGTTCAAATGCATTTGAGACTTTTTTGTTCACACCATTTTTATTATAGAAGAAAATATACTAAACAACAACCAAACAAACACCATAGCTTTATAGTACACTCTCCCTTCAACCTCTGTATGTAGTCTGAGAAACTAAAGCAATACAGCTAGATAGCATGGATAGTATAGAAGAGCATAAATATCTAAAACTGAGAATCAAG